GAGTTGTATTAGATTATTTTAAAGCTTATTTTTAGCTTTAAAATTTCTGATGTTGATGTACTACTCTTAGCATGACTTTATTTCAGAGACGAGAGTTTACCTCAGAATCCCAATTCCAGCCCTATTCTCTAGCCCCATATCCTACTGCCCGTTAATATCATTTTCATTTAAAGCTTGAGAGAAAAACCTCAAAAATGCCCTTAACATTTCTGTCTTTATAAAACACACCACCTGAAAGAGAGGTTAGTGAATGGCACTAACCTTATGGTTAATTAGAAGTTAAAGCTTGACAAATATTCTAACATGTTACGTATACTTCTAGAATCAAATGCATATATAGGATCTGGCACAAATAATGCCCCCTTTTTATTATAAAATCTTTTATTACAAAATCATGAGCTTGTAATTCTGTAACATAATATCACACTCAAGTGCACCATATGACAATTTAGGTAAAATATTCAAATTAAAACTATAAATCAGTACACCCATATTATTACCCCACCAACCACACTCAAGCAAGCCTTACTTCTGCCAGACCCTGTATATGTAACCAGATGACCACAGGAAATAGTGAAACCTAGATTTGGGGAAATATCCCAACATCTGATCATTTTAAATTATTATAATGGGGTGGGCAGGGGGGTGCCAGGGAAGGGGTAGTTCCAATATCAATCTTCTGGGGAAGAGATGAATCCTGGGGCAGGAAATGCAGACAGACTGTCCCTGAATTGAACAAGGAAGAAGTCCCCTTTTCCTGAGTACAGAAGCTCAGTTGGCTTGGGCTCTGAGGTGCGACAGGCCGGGGTGTTCTCATGTAGAGGGGAGCTGGCGATGCCTGTTTGTCTGAGGTGGCGCCATCAACCATAGGGCAGAGAAAGAGCAGGTCTGGAGCAACAGGATCAGGGACGGCATTGTGAAGCCATCCAGAAACCCGAGCTTGGACCTGAGCAGGATGTGAGAAAAGCCATATCCCCTCCCCAGGGGGGAACGGGGCACAACTCTGTCTAAGATGGTGACTTCATGAGAGCCATCAGCTGCAAAGGCAGCAGTGCAGCAGCATGACAAGGAGGCTTGGCTTGAGGGCTTTGTTCCCATGTGCCCCCCTCCAATCAAGACATCATGGAAGGAATCCCTCAGAGAGGAGGCAGGACAACCTTGAGAGGGCTTTACTTCCGCCCTTATGGCTTTGAAGCTTACATTATAATAAACAGGTAAAACAAACAAACAAATGCAATCAGGAGTACTACTGGCCATAAACTGCATCATAACACTCAAGTTTAAGTAGAATTTTGGATGCAAGCAACTATCTGGGGTAGAGGGGAAGGCAGGCATGACTAAAAAGCAGAACAAAAACTTAACATATGGAAGGAGAAAAGAAGATAGGGCAACTTAACACCCACTGGTGCCCATAAGCTGTGGTGGACCTTGAACATCTAGTCCTTTGCTAATGTTGGATCACAACAACATATTCTGATTTGCACACCCCAGAAAGAAACTAAATAGCCCTTGGGCGATTGTGCAGAAAATGCTTGAAGAGCCAAACAAGCTCTCCCAGGACCCCACATCACTCCCCAGACCATAATGACCTAGAAACACAGGAAAGAGAGGGCACAGCTTCCTAGACATGAAAGCGGACAGCTCCATGGAGTCACCCACACGTGGCAGCTGACCCAAGGGATGAAGTGCATGGAAACCTGGTGGATTAAAAGGCAGCACAACAACAGAAAAGAACGGCATGGGATGCGTGTATGTTACGTAATAAAAGGGCATTTGAACTTTACGAAAATCTCTTGGGTCTACAAATCTTTTTTTTCTCCACTGATGTGGTTACTGGTCAATAGAAATACACAAGCTTCTGAGGTCTTACCTCATCTTCTTCCCCTCTCCACATCTCTGCAAGAACTGTTTCTGGAATGGGTGACAGCAATTCTGTCTCCTAAAGGTACTGTGAACAACAGGATTGTAGCAACCACAGTGCCCATTGCTCTAGATAGACCTCCCTCTATTTTTGTTTGCCTGGAGTAGGAAAGAAAGAGCAACTCTCAGGATAAGCTAATGTTAACTCCATTTTATTGCCTCAAGCCAATGACTGTTACAGAAGTAGAATGGAAATCATTGTTCTGAAATAGAGTAATGGGATTTTGGATGAAGAGGTACCTTATAGATAAGCTAGACCAATGCCATCCTTTTCTAGATAATGAGATTAAGACTAGAGAAACTTTCCCAAGCACACATGAGCAGTTAATGGCAAATGTTGGACCAGAATTCAGGTGAGTTTTTTTTAGGAGATGGAGAAAATATTCAGGTAAACAGACTATTGGGGATTATAATGCATGAACTTATACACAGTTGGAGGAACTAAAAAGGGGATGATTCAGGGACCTAACTATTTTCAAATACATGAAGGACTGGCAAGTAGAAAAGGGGCTTGAAATTGTTCTGCTGGCCCAAGAAAACAAGAACTATTGTGGAGAAGTTGGAGGAAGGATTTTAGCAGTTCAGAATAAGATAAAAACATTTAAACAGTCAAAATTTGCCAATAAAGTTTGTTGAAGAGTAAGCTTTCTGTCGCCTAAGACATTTCAGAAAACACTAGAAGATAATGTAGTGTATGTTTTTGTCCACTCAGAGGCATGGAGTGAAAGGTGTGGAGGAGAAAATTCAGGCATGAAAATCATTAGGATGAAGTGACCTTTAAGAGTATGTGATTCTTTACAAGCAGGACCAGATAAGAGTTTTATTCTTGCCTCCAAACTCTAAAAGCTATCTCCCTATCTATTTGCAATACTTTAAATTTTAATCTATTTCCTATTTCAGGGTATTATGCCCTGAATATTTGATTTGAATGCTATGGCAGAAGGTTACTCTTATTCATTTATTTTCTTTTACTCTTATACACTTGCAGTGAGTCTTTTGAATCCATTATGCAAATGGTGCAAATCATATGCAAATACTTGGCCTCAGAAAATGACAAAACCTTAACTGAGCCATCACACCTTTCTTTAAGAAAAGTAATATGCCTTTTCAATGTCTCTGGGGCAGGAGACAATTTCCTGAGAGTGATATTTACATGACACTGGAAGTGATTACTCAGAGGAGTCTTTTCTTCACATTCTTCATATTTATGTAGGACTTTAAGGTTAAGAAAGAATTTTCATGTAAACTATCTCATTTGATTCTCATAATTACCCTGTGATGTCAATAGAACAGGAATTGGAATTCCTGTTCTATTTTTCAGGTGGGAAATAGACTCAAAGAGGTGAAATGTCTCGCCCAACTTCTCTCAGTTGATGAGCAATGGCCTGTGCCTCCTTCCAGTCCAGCCCCTTCCCATTACACCGTGGCACACCCCTTCTTTAAAGCAAGGTGGCTGGTCGCCCATCCCAGTTTGCTTAGACTGTGTTTTGCCAAAAGCATCTTTGGATGTGTTTTGCTATTGAGGATGGAATTTTAGGATGACCAGAAAAGTTTCAATATTTGTAGTAGCCCTAATACCATGCCAAGTACATAGTTTCTCCAAACCCCTCTTCTTTTTAGCACCTTTTTTGAAATCTCCAGGTGAAGAACTTTCTTTACCCCATCCACTCTTCAGCTCTTTCAGGAGGCAACACTCTTTCTTAAACTGTGGAGAGTAAAAGCATAGTCTCTGCAGTGAGCCTGGATCTAGGCTCTAATCCACCACTTTCTAGTTGGGCTTGGAGAAGTCATTTCATTTCTCTAAGCATCAGTTCCTCCATCTATAAAATGGGATTAAAAAAAATAACACCTCTCTGAATACTGGTTGGTGTGCCTCAGTGGCTTGAGTGCTGGCCTGAGAACCAAAGGGTCAATGGTTCAATTCCCAGCCAGGGCACACACCTGGGTTGCAGGCTAGGTCCCTAGTGGAGGACACGTGAGAGGCAACTACACACTGATGTTTCTCTCCCTTTCTTTCTCTCTCCCTTCCCCTCTCTCTAAAAATAAACAAATAAAATCTTTTAAAAAAAATAACCCCTCTTCGACAGAACATGTGAGAAGGAGGTATATAAGAAAAAAAAACAACAGCCTGCTCAGTGGCTGACACATAATAAGTGCTCAATAAATGGTGATTACTGTAATTATTGTATTAATGGCAGCAATACAGTCGTGGTAGTATTAGTAGTAGCATCTCAAGTCACTGTGCTGTGATGCTAACAGCTGGGCTATTGGAAACAGAATGGGAGAACAGTAATGCCAAATATCTCCTATATGCCAGAGAGTTGGAGAACAGACAAGGTCTGAGGCAGCTAAATTCAGCCCAGTGAGGAATGCTTGAATTTTCACTCTTTGTAATCACTACCACGTCTTGCACCATAATGAGGGTATTTGCAATCCTGCTTCAAAGCTATTTCTAAGGAGAAACAGAGCCAAGCCTGGCATCCTCAACTCTGCTCTCTCTTAGCCAGATGGCTCCGTACATAGCAGTGTCCTCTACCGGGTCAGGCTGGGAAGGTACAAGGCAGGATTCTACCCTGCTGTGTTAGTAGGCCTGGGTCACCAGCTCAAGGGGTGGATCTGTCCCAGCGCTATTCCAAGACTAGAGGTGGGTGTTGGTGAGGTGGCCCAGGCAGCGGCGGAGGTGCAAGGAGCAACCACACTCACTCAGGAGGGTGACCTGTTCCCTCACTCCAGTTCCCAGCTCTGGCAGCACCACCCCGGGGCTCGGTCCTTCCCTCCAGCATGCCCGGCACCCCTCCCAGTCACCCATCCAGGCCAACTAACAAAGTGGCCTCCTTCGTGTGGACAGCTTCCTGCCTCCACAGGAGCTATCGAAGTGGGCCCAACCCCGAAGGTGGCGAAAGTCAATAGAAACCATCACACCGAGAGTCAGCGTGACAGGCTCAGGAAGGCTGCACAACTGATGTGTTTGCCAGGAAATGCACTGGGCCATCCTGGGGCTGGGTCCCCAGCTATTTTTGGCAAGGGTGGGTGGTATGTAAAGACACTTCCCATTTTCTGCAGCACAGAGCCACCAGACACTGAGCAGTCAGGGCACTTCTGGCTCCGAGATCACCCTCCTGAACACGTCTCCGGCTGCCGAGTCACTGAGGCCATCGTAGATAAGCCCACCAAGCTGGGGTGGCACTGGTCCCGTGATGGCTCCCCCCATCAGCAGCTTCCTGTTGGCAGTGCTGTTTTCTGCCAGCTGTGAAGCCATCACCTCCTTGGATCAGACATGCATGGAGGTGAGTCCAAACTTTTTCTCTTTATCCAGATTAAACTGCCTGGCAGTTTTGAGATTCAGCCTGCAGCCCCAGCTGAGCCTTGGCATCGCAATATCCACTGTCTTTGAAAGGGCAATAAGGTGTGTAGAAGTTTTTCTTTCTTGTGAGGAAAGAGCCAAGAGCATAGCCAAGGGAGGATCCCGCAGAGCTTTAGAAGGAAGAAGTGAGAGTTTTCCTCCTCTTCAAACAATGCCCTCAAAATAGTCCTAATTGGGACATAAAAATATCAACAGGGTCCCAGTGCAGAGAGCAGGCCAGCAAAGCTGCTGCCAGCACGGAGGAGCTGTTTGTCCAACATCACAGCACATGGCCGCTACCCCACACAGCCCTTCGGTTTCCTGGCTCTCGGGGTGGGGATTAGTAAGGATAACCTGTGCCAGGTTTATAGCATGTAAAGATCACCCTGAATGAGTCTGGCATCGTCCTCAAGTTGGACAGTCCTCCATCTGTTTTCCTAACCCACAGGAGCAATATCAGAGAACAGAGCCAAATTGCACCTTCTGTTTGGAACCATAACAATATTTATCAACCTGTGGGAAATTCTTAAAAGAGGTGGTGAGAGAGATAAAGAAGGGCCTCAGTCAGTCTTTTTACTGTCTTCCAAAATGCTTCCACCTTCCTCCCACTGTCTCTGACTCCAACAAGTGTACAGCACTACGTGGCCTGACGAACAGGAGCGGGGGCCGGGGGGGCGGGGGGTGGCGGGCAGGAACGACCATCAGTCTTGGTGCCCCGGTAGGCTGCTTTCCTAGGCTGGGGCTGAGAGCAGAAGTGGAGTCAGGAGAGGCGGAGGCACAAAGGTGGTGGTTGGGAGCCACAGGCAGGAAAATGCTAAGGGAGCAGGCAAGGGCAAGAATTCCAGCCAGGACTGGAACAGCCCTGGGAGCAGAGCAGAACACAGCCTTGTTAGTCAGGTATTAGGATGGAATCAGAACACACTAAGACTAAGAGGAGGCACAATGCCTGGGGAAAGGAAGGCTGCGAAGGTGAATAATTTTGTTCTGGCTGCTATAGCAAAGTATGGTAGACTGAGTGGCTTAAACAAAGAGAACTTATTTTCTCACAGTTGTGGAGGCTGGAAATCCAAGATCAAGGTATTGGCAGGGTTGGTTTCTTCCAAGATTTCTCTCCTTGGCTTGTGGATGGCCCTCTTCCCTCTGTTTCTTCACATGGTCTTCCTTCTGTACATGTCTGTCTCCAAACTTCTGATTCTTAAGAAAACACCAGTCATATTGAATTAGAGTCCATCCTAATGGTTTCATTTTAATTTAATTACTTATTTAAAGACTATTTCCAAATAAAGGCACATTCTTATGTACCTGGTTAGGAATTAAACATATGAATGGGGGAGGCGCAATTTATTCCATAACAGAAGGGAGTAAGAAGTTGTTATAGGCCCTAGAAGGCTGTCTCCTCCTCATTCAGGTTCGAAGGTCAAACTCACACAGACATGTAGGTGGCATAGTAAGAGGATAGGAGTGGGCACACAGCCTCCTCAGCAATCAGATAGGTATTCCATCTACCTCTCATAACACCCCCAGGTAGCATAGTATCACCAGTACATTCCAGCTCATTGGGAAGCAGATTTTTTTAAAATGCCACACCCTTAAGCCTACCTATTCAACTCTTATATCCCCATATTCCTGCAAAGGCCCCATCAGCCCTTCTGAGGCCCACAAGAGGGTCCTGGGAGTTTTTGAAAGCCCATGGAAACACTGAGCCAGTCTAGCTTCCTTTGAGGACACCAGGCCCAGCCATTTCCTTTCTGCAAATGACACTGCTTTGGCGGAGGGAAGGGAAAGAGGCAGGGAGAGCACCCTAGACCTTTTGCTGCCTTCTGAGACGTTCAGGTGGCAAGAGCAGTTCTGAGGGTGCCAGGATCTCTAGGCCTGACCTTATGCTGCAGTGAGAGCTTTTCCACTTGGCTAAGTTTATATTGAAACCTTCCAATAAAACAACCTCCCTGCAGCCTTCCCTCTGGAAGAAGTCGGATTTTAAATGCTCTGGGACCTATCTCATGAACATTGGCTCTTCATTTTCCTGGACTCTTCTATCACATATGAGTTCTTGGCAGCAGAATTCTAAGGTTATGTACTAAATCCTTACTTATGTGAGTACTGGGGAAATACAAAGATAGATGAGAATTGTTCTTGAAAGTAAAGAACTTCTCAGCTGCAGGAGCAGGATAAAAGGGGGAGTGGTGGGAGAGGGAGCTTGACTTACAAATTTGGCCCTTTTTCAACTGCAAATGACCCCAGTTAGCCTAACCCTCCACCTTCCTTTCCTTTCCTCTTTAGTCCTTCCTTTCCAACTTAAGCACAACTAACCACATACTGTATATATGTTCATGTAACTACCATTAGTTCATCAGCATCCATCCTGAAAACAAGGTTTTGTCTTGTTTTTTTTAGTTCAGTAAACTTTTTATTGAAGTGAAACATAAATGCAGGAAAGTTCACTAATCCTAACTGTGCAGTTCAAGGAGTTTTCACTACGCTAATGCAGCTACGTGGCCAGCACACAGATCAAGACACAGAACTTTCTCAGAGCCTCGGAAGCCCCTTCACACCTTCTCCTAGTCACTAGCCCCCAAGGACAGCTGGCACTCAACTTTCTCACCACTGATCAATTTGGCCTCTTTTTGAATTTTATATATATGAGACCAGATAGCGTGTACTTTTTTGTGTCTGACCTTTTTTGTTCACCATTAAATATATGAGATTTATTGATGATGATCTGTGAACCAATCATTGGTTCATTTTCATCACTGAATGGTATTCTATTGTGTTAATGAGCCCCCATCCAGTTATCTGTTCTACTGTGAATGGGCATTTGCATTGTTTTCAGTCTTTTGGGCTATCATGAATGCTGCTGCTTTGGAGTTCTTATCTATGTCTCTAATAAACCAATGTACAAATCATTATTAGGTATATACCAGGAAGTGGATGCATTTGGTCATAGGGTATACACATTTTTAAGTTTAGCAGATATTGCCAAACGGTTTCCAAATTGTGGATAACGATTTATATTCATCAGCATTTATATTCATCTGTTTGCTCCACACCTCACTGATATTTGCTATTGTTCATTTTTAAAACCCATCCTGATGGATGGGTAGTGTTATTTCACTGGGATTTAATTGTTATTTTCCTGATGAATAATTAAACTGAGTTCATTTTCATGCTTTTGCTGGCCATTTGCATGTCCTTGTATGTGTGCGTGTGTCTGTGTGTGTGTGTGTGTGTCTGTGTGAAGTGCTTTTTCAAGTCTTTTGCCAATATTTTGGGTATCTGTCTTTTTTTTATATTGAGTTGTGAGAATATTTTTATGTACTATGGATACTAGTCCTTAATCAGATAGCAAATATCTTTTCCCACTCTGAGGCTTGCCTTTCCACTTTCCTAGTGATATCTTTTGATGAACAGAAGTCTAATTTAATTTTTTTAGATTTTATTTATATTATTTTAGACAGAGGGGAAGGAACGGAGAAAGAGAGGGAGAGAAACATCGATGTGTGGTTGCCTCTCATGTACCCCCACTGGGGTCCTGGCCTGCAACCCAGGCATGTGCCCTGACTGGAAATGGAGCCAGTGACACTTTGGTTCATAGGCCAGCACTCAAACCACTGAGCCACACCAGCCAGAGCTAGAAGTCTTTAATTTTAAAGTAGCTAGATTTATCGTTGTTGCTTTACTTTCAGTGAATTTCTGTCCTATTTAAAAAATTTTGCCTACTCAAAGTCATGAAGATACTATCTTAAGTTTTCTTCTAGTATTTTTATTGTTTTGTATTTATTTCCATTTCTAGGTTTCACATCTAGATCTATAGTCCATCTGGAATTGCTTTTTGTGTATGAAGTGAGGTAGGATCAAGGTGAATTTTTAAATAAAACTTTCTTTGAAGATATTTCAAACTTAGACAAGTTCTAAAAATAATACAATGAACACCCATCAACTCTCCAGGTAGACTCCTCCATTGTTAGGCGCTACTTGTTCTCTCCCTGTGTGTGTGCATGAGTGCATGCACCATGACTAGCAAAATTAGACCCATGCGCAAGTCTTTGAAGGCTGACAATTACATGAAGCGTAGCTGGAATTCAGCGTTCTGTGATTTGAATTTTGGTGACATTTTAGATGTGCTCTTGAATAATTATTTGGGAGGGTAGGCATGCCTCCTCCTTTCAAATGGGTTCACCTCAGCTATTTTGTACACTCAAAACCATGGTAGGAGACAGTCCTTCAGTTCTAGACATGGGGGGATGGGAAGTGTACTTAGAAAAGCTTCTTTTCAGGAGAACACCAAGTTCATGGATATAAATGCTTCCTAATAGCTCCAGACAATGCCATGATGCTGTGATGATCTAGTGAAATACAAACTCCTCTTGGGAGTGCTTGACATACATTATCAAATTAATCTTGAGTGGCCTGCAAAGAAGGGTTATTGTCCTTCACTAACAGTTGGGGAAAAGGAGGCTCAGAGAATGCAGCTTAGTGGTTGAGAGCTGGGATCTGAACCCAAGCAGTCTGAATGCAGACAAACAGAAAATAAACCACACATAACTGTAATGTCCTTTGTCCAGAGGAATCTGATTGACACCAAAGTTTTAGAACTGTGCCCGTTTGGGAATGCTTGGTTTTATTTGCAGAGAGTAATTGTTACTCTGAGATTTGGCTCAGTCAAATTGTTATCTCTGCATAAAGGAGCGACTAACAGGGAAGGGTTGGGGTTCAGCCTCCCAGGCTTCTTCGCCCGCGGCGATGCTGGCTGCTGCGTAGATGCCCAGTGTAGATGATCCAAAAACATGGGAATCAGCACTGGAGTGAAACTTAAAAGATTCTAAATTAGAAAATGATTTCAACACTTTCAAGAGGAGAAAATACAGTAGGACAGGCAAGGAATTAGAGATACCGCAGAAAGAAGCAAAAATAAGATCCTGATTGAAAAAATGCAAATGAGCAGCTATAGGGAGAAGGGATTGCAAACACAGACACAACGCTTGGGAGTCCTGCTCTGTGTAAAAGGCACAGCTCTGACATAAAGCTAGAGACAAAGTAGCTGGTGCAGGTCCCAGTGCACAGTGACCCTGAGTAAATGCCCCATGACTTGGAAGAGAGGTGGGCAGGGGGCAGCTGCCCTGAATACCAGGGAGCCTTGCACAGTCGTGCTAACTGCATGAGTTCACATCCAGAAGGGCACTGTGTCCTGTGAAACCAGCCAAAGCTGAAGAGTGAGAAAGTGACTTTGGAAATTGATCCCATAAGGAGGTCTAGAACAGCGATTTTCAACCTTTTACATTTCATGGCACACATAAATGAATTACTAAAATTCTGCAGCACACCGAATAATAAGTTTTTTGCCTATCTGAAAAAAAAATAGATATAATTTTTGATTCGTTCACACTGGATGGCCATTGTGTTGGCTGTTGTCATTTTTTAATTTGACACACTAGGGAAAAGAGGTCAGTGCCCTTGACTAAACTAAACAGTCAGGCATCTCACATATTAAAAATTCTTGTGGCACGCTGGTTGAAAATCGCTGGTCTGGAAAATGAAGGCTGGGTTTATAGGAAGTGGTCATGTGGAGCTCAGAGAAACCACAGGGGCTGCGAAAGCGGTGGTGAGTGTCTGCCTGGAAAAGCAACCGAACACGTGGCCCTGGCAGCCAGCCCAGCCCTGGGCAACAGCCATGGCCACATTGTATTCCCTTCCTGCATTTCTTCTCTGTTGCATTTTCATTCTGCTGTCCTGGAGTCCTGTGCTACGCTATCAGAATTTGCTCTCAAAAAGTTTTGATATGAATCCTGACAGCAAAAAAGACATAACCTCATTGATGCAGTATTTCTGCCAAAAATATATAACCTGAACAAATCATGAGGACAGATAAAAAACCCAAATGAGGGCCATCCCATAAACTATGATCCTGTATTTATAAAAGATATATATATATCAATGCCATGACAGATAATGAAAGGCTGATGAATTGTCTTCGATTAAAGTAGACTAAAGAGACAAGAAAAATAAATGCAATATGTGATCCTTGATTGGAAAAACAGAAATTACTGTAATAGACAATATTGGGATTATTGGCAAAATTTGAATATAGATTGTATGTTGGCTAAGAATATTACATTGCCTTGGCTGAGCGGCTAAGTTGGTTGACACATCATCCCATACATAAAAAGGTTGCAGGTTCGATTCCTGGTCAGGGCACATACCTAGGTTGCAAGTTCAATCCCTAGTAGAAGGCAAGCAATTGGTGCTTCTCTCTCTTCCTCTCTCTTTAAAATCAATAAACATATCCGCAGGTAAGTGTTAAAAAAATGTTTAATAATATCGTATCAATGTTAAATACCCTGAATTTTTGGTAATGGCACTGTGGTTGTATAAAAATACCCCTTTCCTTAAAAGATTTAGGAGTGAAGGGTCACAGCATCTGTGTTTCCTCTAAAAAACAAAAAGAACGAGTATGTGTGCACATGAGCATGTGGGTGTATACTTGGTACCTAAAGAAATACCTTTAACACTGCTTAAATGATTCCAGAGTGTGAGGAGTTTTAGCATCACCACCTGTAATATCTGAAATGGTAACTTTGATTGTATAGGAGTGTGAACGAGAAAGCGAAAGAGAGACACCAGCACATTCTCTGATATGTGTTTGCTTTGTAAAGTCTCCTATCAGCTGCAATTCTTGTCATTTCCCACTTTCTCCCAGAAATCAAAGGCAGAGAGTTCGCTGTGGTTTCTCCCTTACTAGAGAAGAACGTTCTAACACAGGCTCACGGAGGCTCCTCGATACTCCTCGGTTGTGTGAAATCCACTGGTTTGCGGTTTCTCAGTGAGTTCAGACTGAGCTACTTTATTTCCCTGCCTTTCCTTTTGCTAGAAGCTCCCTCAGGCCACTGGCCCCAAAGAGCTCGAGCTCAATCCTCAACTTCCTGAATCACATTAGTGCAGTGAAGTGCTTAGTAAAGCACAAAAGGGGGATAATTTAGATGTCACAGGCACTTACATATTCTGGAGGAGGGAACTACCCCGAACAGAGGCTTTTTGCTGTGGGACCAGAATAAAGCAAGACAAATTGAGGAAAGGCCCCTCTCTTCAAGTGTATGCGACATCAGCTATGCCAACAGAGACCAGAAAAGAAAAATGTCCCCTCAAAGCTAATCCAAACCTCAACAGCTATTGGGACATCACCTGCACATACATCTTCTCTCTGGGTCACCCAAGTTCATGGGTACCAAAGAGGTGTCTCGCAACATGTGGGTTTTGTTTTTCTTTTTTAATTTCCCACCAGTCAGCTAGATCTAAGTTTTAAATGCAAAGTGTGCATTAAATGGCATTAGGTGGATTTGTGGCAGTGCCTGGAGGACTTCGGGTCTATAAAACAAAATACGAATTACAAAGAAATGTAAGTATGGCACATTCATCAGTGACATTCATAATGTCATCACAATAGAGGAAACGGTGGTTTCTTGTACATGAGCATGCCCACTGTAACTACAAAAAAGTGCACCACTAAGCAGAAGTGTCCAGCTATGCAGGCCTGTTTACAACTCACGAGGAGGAAAGCTTCTCATCTACGGTTTGATGAGACAGCTTTTCCCAGACTGGGGCAGTCTCAGTGGGGCCTCTAGTGACACACCGGCATGGTGCAGGGAATGACGGGGCCTGAAAGGGTGGATGAAATCACGTGGAACCTGAGACGCTCTGAGAGATGGCCCCCAAGTGCATTTTCCTTGGAGAGAATTTCATAATAGATACCATCAGACCTACATACCTCCCACTACGTTTTATCCGAAGACATTATCCAGATAAACTACGACCCCATAATTCTATAGACTTCTAACCAACCCCCTTCCATTTTTACCAATTAATTCAAGGTTTATAACTTGAGTTAGGGAATCTAACAAGCAGTCACTGGCGGACTTCCGAATACTTGACTCCCCTGCGACATAGGATGTGGCTGTCCTCTGAACTTATATGCCGGGCTGTGCCCAGAACAACAGCAGCTTATAGAGACCCGGAACTGATTCACACTTCAAAACTGCAAGGCCCCATGGCCTAAGGCCTGTGCCCCACTGCCAGATCACTTAAAGATATTAAGAAAATTTCTTAAAATATGCAAATGTAATTAGTGGCAAGGGATCTGTATGTACTTATCACTCAACATTCAACAACAATCCACATTTTGGCTACTAATCTCATCTTTCTACTCCTCCCCTCTCTTTTTGCCAGAGTATTTTAAAACAAATCTCAAACATCATGTCATTTTATCCCTACATATTTCAAAATGCATCTCGAAAAAATAAGAACATTTCTCTTATCATTAACAAAATGTATAATTCTGTAGTATTCTTTGATATCCTATCTGCATTCAAAGTTTCTTGATAGTCTATAAAAGTCTTTTCCTAAATGCATTATTTAAACTAGAATCTAAACAAGGGCTATTCTAATAGTTGCTGGTTATTTTCATAAGTATGTTTCTTTTTCCAAGAGCAGTCTCCTCTCCCCTCCCACACCCTCCTCTCTCCACTTTCACGCATGGCATCGATATGTTTATAAAACAAAATCAGTTGTTCTATGAATGTCCTATCTTCTTCATTTGGCTGATTGCTACCTTGCAGTGCTGCTGAACTTTAAGTCCCCCACATCCCTTATAGACTGGAAATTAAGCCTAAAGTCATGACCGGATTCAAGCTTTAATTGGGAGGGGAGGGCAAGAATATGTGTAGTTAAAATTGTATCACATCAGAGAGTCTGAATGCCTGAGAGTCTAATGTTGTTGTTGCTGACCTAGACTTGATTTGTTTTTAAAATAGAATAAAACATTTCCATGAACCCAAAATCAAACCTATAAAACAAAGAATATTCAAAGAAGTCTTGTTTCCATTCTCGCTCCTCTATCTGGTTCCTTTTCTCCCTTTCAAGACAACCAGTTTTGAGTTTTCCCCCATGGATTTTTTTTTTTTTTGTTGCAAATGTAAGAAAAGGCACATATACCTTTCTCACAGAAAAGGTAGTATACAATATACTATATCCCATTTACTATATACACTATATCTGTACAGTCAGCATGTTGCTTTTTTCACCGCACAGTATACCAGGGTATTATCCCATATCAGTGTGTGGAGAACTTACTCATTTCATTTTCAGCTGCTAAAGGTTCCCTTTTGTTAACGTGCCATATTTTGTTCAATTAATCCTATAGTGATGGGTAATCTTGTTATTGTCAATCTTCTAATACAAAAAATGCTAAAATGAATAATCTTATATACAAGTCATATTGTGTTTTTGCAAGTATATATTTGGTAAAGACTCTTAGAAGTGGGATTGCTGCTCAAAATATAACATATATATAAATTTGCTAGTCAAATTACAAAGTCTGTTATTAATTTACATTGTTTCTCTCATCAGAAAGAAGCCAACAAAACATATAACTGTGAGAATTTAGGTCTCATAGAAATTCCTGACACTCTACCGAACACAACAGAATTTTTGGAATTTGGCTTTAATTTCTTGCCTACAATTCAAAATACAACTTTCAGCAGGCTCATAGATCTTATCTTTTTGGATTTAACCAGGTATGTATCTGAGTTCTCTGTGTTTGGTTGATGTTTTACTTAAGCAATTAACACAACTTGCATTCCAATTGTTTCCCAAGCCTTTTAGGGAGCATAGAGACATGTCCATCCTGTATGTTTGTCCTCTCCCATGAAACAGCTTTATCCAGGTAAAATGTAATAAAAAAAAAAAGCCAGTGGAGAAGACAGTGAATTGTTCAACTACATTAGGTCAATTGTGCTATTTAAGAAGTTCTGAGGAACATTGATAACAAACCTGAAAACAAATTTTGTACTAAATCGAATTCACATTGTACTACATTATTGGGCAATACTTTATAAAGCTTTACAAGAAAAGCAATTTTTCTTTCCTACAAATTGGGAAAAGAGTTCCATTATTTGGTTTCAGAGGCAGAATAAGGAAGTAAACAAGAGTGGAACACAGTGCGCGTGCATGTGTGTGTGTGTGTGTGTGTGTGTGTGTGTGTGTGAGAGAGAGAGAGAGAGAGAGAGAGCGGGGGAGGAGAGAGAGAGAGAGAGAGAGAGAAAGGGCTCTGCGTGTGCATGGTGTCTGTACTTTCTGCACAGCTATTTCTTTGGTTGTTTGACTTAAGCTCCTGCAGAGTGGGAGGGCATTCACAACCATAATACTACTTCATCTGTAAAAACCACCACTGTGAGGGCGGCATGGTAAATATGATTGGCCAGCTTGTGTTAGAAAAGGAAATGGAGACTCCAGAAGATTTTGTGAGCTTGCTTAAAGTCACACGGTAAGAAAGCTGGGACTCTGTTCTCCTCACTCCCGGTCCAGAGGCCCCCCAGTGACATCAGGCCACCTCCCCAGCCAAAACTCCATGTGCATGTGTTCAGAAACACGTGAAAGAAAACCTTGTCCTGAAAGAGAAGATCATTCTGCTACCTACCTATTATGCCCCAAGAAAATTGATTCTCCCTCTCCTTTTCCATTTCCCATTTATAGATTAAATGAGTTTGACCCCATTTTTAAGAAATGCATGGGCTGGGACATTTTTTCTAACTAGAAAAGTCTAAGTTTTATCTTGTTTTCCAAAAGTGATAATAATATGACCTCATGCTTCCTAAAACCTCTTCCTCTGCTCCCCTTGCCCCTTGCTTTTCCACAAATCAGATGCTATTTTTATACTCTAAACAGTCCTTGTGTCTTTAGTTTTGCCAACATGTTTTTTTTTATTTTCTGTGCTCATTCTTCCACCTTGCTTTTCAGATCTTCCTCTCTGGAAGAATTTTTCTTTTTCCTGAAGTACATCCTTAGAAATTCCTTTAGTGAGAGTGCATTAGCAGTAAACTCTCCCTGGTTTTCGTTTTTATGAAAATGTCTTTATTTCACACTGATTCTTGAAGATAGTATTTTTCTGACATATATAATTCTGGGTTGATAGTGTTTTTTTCTCAGCCTTCAATGCTATCATTATAGTCTTCCATTGTTGCTGCTGGGCAGCCACAAATCTTTGTTCACAGGCAGGAAATCTGCCTTTTCCTCTCTGGATGTTTTCAATAGCTTCTCCTTGTCTTTGGCATTCTGTAATAGCACAATAATATATTGTGTAGATTGTTGGCCTCCTTAAATGTGAGATTGGTTGTCTTTTGGTAATTCTAATATCTTAGCCATTAGCAGTTCAGGCTTTCACTTGTCCCCATTTACTCTTTCATTTCCTCTTGACCTTCAATTAGACTTATTTTGCATCTTCTCATCTATCCTTCACATATCTTAATATCCTTTTTTTTTTTTTTTTTTGCTTTCTATGTCTTTGGTTTTTTGGACTATATTCTAAGTAATTTTCTCATATTTACTTCTAGTCCATTAATATCCTCTTCAGCTGTGTCTAATCTCCTGTATAGATTATACATTGGCTTTCTAATTTGTATTATTATCTTTTTTCATTTCAATAAATTTCATTGATTTTTCAATTTACATACAAGTGGGAACCTCAAAAAATTGAATTTATTTATGAAAAATTATGTATTTATACATACATGTTTAAACCTCAGTCACCTTCAAAGTGCTATTTGATGCAATACACCTAACAAGACTTTTTCTGCACCACTCAAAACAGTTTTTGAACTTGTCGATTTTGATGCCTTTTAGTGTTTCTGTTGTTTTTTTGTTTCACCTCTTCCACATGGGCAAAATGTTTCCCTTTGGGGACTTTTTTCATCCAGGAAAACGAAAAAAAAAAAGTCACTCAGGGTGATAGTGGGGGAACAGGGAGGGCAGGGCACAGGGGTCATGATGTTTTTGGCCAAAAATTACAGAACACACAGCGTGGTGCAGGCGGGGGTGCTTGTAAATCACCCATCATGAAATGAGCAAACATGTTGAAAGAGTCTCCAAAAAAATTCACAGAAGCCAAACACAGCCTCTCACAACAATGCCCACTGGTGCACTAACACCACTGGGTTCCCAGAACACTCACTTCCTGGGGGAAGCCTGTGCTACAAGGGTTCTATCCTCCTGAAGATAAATCTGGTTTTTCTGATACAGACATATTTATCATATATTCTGATAATACACATTAGGTATAGAATATATTTGTATATCATATACATTATCAGATCTATCTGAGAATTCTGGTATCTGCTTTTTTTTTTGCTTTTAACCTGATTCTGTAGAACTGTTTTTCCCCCTGAGTTTAACTAATGTGTTTCCTTTATGTGTTAAGTCAATTTTTATTTTGAGCTCATTTTTCTTTTGGAAATATGTGTAAATCTTTGTTTAAAATGATTGCTTGAAGTTAGATAATACCAGTGAATTATTAATATTGTTATATGTGACAATGGCATTATGGCTATAAAAAAATAAGTCTAGACATTTTTGCAGATTCCTACTTTCAAATATGTATGGGATATCTAGGATTTGCTTTAGAACAATTCAGGAGAGAGAGGTGGGAATAGCTAACACAAAGAAACGTAAGTGGCAAAATCTTGAGAGTTGCTGCATCTGTGTGATAAATACATGGAGGTTCATTGTGTTACTCTCCTTGCTTTTATGTAAATTTGAAAGCTTTCTTTACTAAAAATTAAATACATCAATCTGGAAAACGTTTCTACTTACTCCTGCCCACTACCTGAAGTTACTACCATTCTGGAACCACTTTAAACTAAATTTTCCACTTGGGTTTCTTTTGGGAGGTCCGCAGACTTAGCATTAATTCAGGCCTCAATCCTCATGAGTAGAAGCTATGGTTAGGGAATCTCAGAGACTTTTCTTGTTATTGTTTTTCTTGTTCCCTCTGAGCCAAGGCCAAGAAAAACACATATCTTTAAGGTCTCTCTCTGTGAGCTTTCTTTTTTGAGGTCATTCACTGAAAAGATTCTATTTGAGGGTCTTGGTAGTTTATAGGTTTTTGATAGGACCTCCTATCCTATCTCCAAGCTTTGCCTCCTGCCACTGATACATGTGGCTCATTAAAACAAAGACTCTGGGCCACAAGAGATTGACAGATATTGGCAGATATGACAAAGCTAGTGTGTAATCCAGTATCATTAGGTGCAATACCAGGATGTGTGTCTTTGAAATTCTAGTGTTAGATATTTCTATGAACTATTTTCATATATATCATTGGATTCACAAGCACTCTACAAAGTAATCCTTATTTCTATACTTTATAGTTTAAAAAAGAGATTGAAAAAAGTTATAACTTGACCAGGATGACATAGATTTATATAAAACAGATCATTACTATGCATTATATAAAGGTAACACACATATAACAGATGTTATGCATTATATATAACATTTAATATTACTTAAAATAATAAACAATACCTTGATTTTTTTCCAATGATCAAACCACTAATTATTCCCACAGATTACAAACACAAACCTCTTAGAGATCAATCTAAAAGGGCAAGATATCTGGAAAAAAAAAAGTCTAAATCAGTATGTTTAGAACTGAAGCTAGTGATTAATTCAGCAGGCCACATGTGGTTACTGAAGAGCGTTTTTTATGACTAATAATGTTTTCTGTTTTTATGATACAGAAATGGTGACTTTGTTAATATAGGTCACTATGACAAGGTGTTTTCATTTTTCTAATTAATTATCATTAAATATTATTATCTTCTTAAGGTGCCAGATTAACTGGATACATGAAGACACTTTTCAAAGCCATCATCAATTGGACACACTTGTGTTGACTGGAAATCCCCTGATATTCATGGCAGAAACATCACTTAATGGGCCCAGGTCACTGAAGCATCTTTTCTTGATCCAAACAGGAATAACCAATCTTGAGTTTATCCCAGTGCAAAATCTGAAGAATTTAGAAAGTTTGTATCTTGGAAGCAACCACATTTCCTCCATTAAGTTCCCAGAAAACTTCCCAACACAGAATCTGAAAGTTTTGGATTTTCAGAATAACGCCATACATTACCTCACAGGTAAAGATGTGAACGCTCTGGAGGCCACCAACCTAAGCCTTAACTTGGATGGCAATGCCATCAGGGGCATTGAGTCTGGGGCTTTCCATTCAAAAGTCTTCCAGAGTTTGAGGTTTGGAGGGACTCTCGACTTGTCTATTATATTCAAAGGTCTACAGAACTCTACCACTGAGTCTCTCTGGCTGGGGACATATGAGGACACTGAAAATCAATACGTCACTACAGCCATGTTTGAAGGACTTTGTGAAATGTCTGTGGAGAGCATCAACCTGCAGAAGCACCGTTTCTCTGACTTGTCATCTACCACGTTTCGGTGCTTCACGCAATTTCAGGAATTGGATCTAACGGCAGCTCACTTGAAAGAGTTACCCTCTGGGATTGAGGGTATGAACTCTCTCAAGAAATTAGTTCTCAATGTAAATCATTTTGAGCAGTTGTGTGAAATCAATGCTGCCAGTTTTCCATCCCTTACAGACCTCTCTATCAAAGGCAACCTGAATAAACTTGGCCTCGGTGCTGGGTGTTTGGAAAAACTAGAACATCTTCAGAGACTTGATTTAAGCCACAGTGATATAGAAGCTTCTGACTGCTGCAATCTGCCACTCAAAAACCTGCACCGCTTGCAATACCTAAACCTGAGTTACAATATGCCCATTGGTCTCCAGAGTCAGGCATTCAAAGAGTGTCCTAAGCTAAAAGTCCTGGATTTGGCATTCACCCGCCTGAGCATTAGTGCTCCACAAAGTCCTTTCCAAAACCTTTCTCTACTGCAGACTCTGAATCTCTCTCACTGCCTCCTTGATACTAGCAATCAGCACCTTCTAGAAGGCCTGCTGGGTCTCCGGCAACTGAATTTACAAGGCAATCACTTTCAAGATAGGAGCATTTCAAAGACTAATCTACTTCAGACAGTAAGCGGCTTGGAGGTTCTGATTTTATCCTTCTGTGAGCTCTTCTCTATAGACCAGCAAGCATTCCACAGTCTTGGGAATATGAGTCACCTGGACTTAAGCCACAACAACCTGACAGAAAATAGCATCAATGCTCTTAGCCTCCTTAGGGGGACCTACGTCAATCTGGCCACCAATCGCATTCGGATCATCCCGCCCAATCTCCTCCCTATCTTGTCCCAGCAGAGCACCATTAATTTAAGTGACAATCCCCTTGACTGCACTTGTTCAAATGTTCATTTCATAACATGGTACAAAGAAAACCTGCAAAAATTCGAGGACTCAGAGGAGACAGTGTGTGCCAATCCCCCATCTTTAAGTGGAGTTAAGCTGTCTCAGGTTGAACTGTCCTGCGGGATTACAGCCTTGGGCATTTTTTTCCTCATAGTATTTTTATTCTTGTTCACCATTCTGCTCATTTATTCAGCTAAATTCATCATTAGATGGAAATACCAGCATATTTAGTGCTGAAGGTTTCTAGGGATGGCAAATAAATGTTTATCAAATTTGTGCTAAGTAGAGGAACTGTTGTCTGTTGGTGACCGGAATTCACAGGTTGGTTCCTGGTGCTGGGCAGGGATTCACTGTGCTCTTCTGAGCCTTGGAACAAATGAGCCTCCCTGGATAGCAAACCGAGAAAGGCCAGAAGGAGAGATGCAGCCATGAGAGAAAGAGCCATATCCTTACACGGAAGGTGGGAGGAAGGTGAGAAAGCACTCGTGGCAGGGCATGGCCAGAAGAGTCACCCACAAAGAGGCCACCTCCCTTACACTTATGGACTTCCTTCGAAGCATCTCCCCCTGACCTGAAAAGGAAACTATCGATGCCCACCACTTGGCTGTGCTGAGGACCCCAGCTCCGATCCCTTCTCACACATTGTGACCATCATGCTTGGGTCTGAGTTCCCAGTAACATAGCAGTTGGGGACATTTGTTGCAGAGAAAGTCTAATTGCTCATTTTAACGAAAAAGGGAAAACAATGAATTTAAAAGCAGAGGCTGAGAAATGAATCTTGCCATCAAATTGACTCCATTCATCTCCCTTATCCGTAGGTAGCTAAGGGTCTCTACAATATCACTAGGGTGGAAATAGCTACCAAAAGAAAAAAAAAAAAAAAAAAGACAGCCTCCACCAGGACCTCCCTCCCCCAAGGTTTAGGACTTTTGTTACATTGGCCATGCTCACCTGAGACCCGGGAAGCCCCCTTTGCCAGTCGGGTGCTCTCGCTCTTACGTTACAGAGCCTAACTTACAGGCGGGCTGGCGTCCAAATGCTCTTCTCATTTGTCTGTCTGGTCCTTCGAGGCTTCTTTCCCACAGGAACCGTAAGATAAATGGTGATTTGGCTCCCAGGCCAGCTCTCAAATGCCTACTCACCTGGGACAGCAATTGAGATAGCACATTGATAATGAAAATTAACGGGAGAAAGCATCCCAGCAGACCAGCTGTCTGTCAAGAACACAATAAGCTCAGTGAGTAGTTTCTGTTTGGTGTCAGCAAAGGTAGTACCAGCGACAGAGCGGGGACAGGACAGAGACCCTGAATGCAGACAGAGAAGGAGGACAGGGAAGCTGGCAGGGTGATGATTTAGGCCTTCCCAAGGCCCACAGTGTCACAATCCTGCGGAGTTCAATCTTCCAAAAAGGCCTGCATTCATGGACAAGAGAGCTCTTGTACACAGATGCTGCATTCCCAAGGCCTTGGTTAAGTTTATGACCACTTTTCAGGTAGCGATGGTAACTTGTAGCTATGAAATTCTGATTGGATATCAAAGGGAAACTTGATTAATATCCATCAGAATTTATTAGCCCTGAGGTTGAAGGCATAATAGTGGGACAGAAGAACAGAGTGGAAACTTGGGGATTAACTCTTTTTTACTTCTATGTGCCCAGGAAAAGCAGGGAAGACAAGGGAACAGGGAGGCTAAGTCATAAAGCTTCACTGCAAACGCTCTGTCAGTCTTAGGGGATATTCTGTACTACATAGTTGCCCAAGTTTTCTCACAAGTTCTTAGGGACACAAGGCCAGGGGTTAGGTAAGGTGAGTGAGGTCCTCGCCTTGCATACAAAATTTAAGGGAGAACCCAAATCTCAGTAATCAAGCCAAAAAAAAAATGCAATATTTTTAAAACTTTTAGTGCAAAAAAAAAAATTGACAATAAATAAAACATTAAAATTTTAAGCAGAGACAGGATCCATAACAGTGCCATGCTGAATGAACCATATTAGAGTGAGGAAAAAGGAAAAATTAGTAATACCACTTTAAAACGTCACTATTTTGTTCACTGGGGATGTTTGCATTAGATTTTATTTTTTTAAAGTTGTGTTAAAACACTATGTATCTTCATTACTGAGTTTTTTGGTGTGTTCCTTAGTTTTGCGCCCAAGGTGGGCACCTCACTCGCTTCGCCCCGTCCCTGCCCCCGAGGGCCGGTGAGCAGTGGGGCTTCCCAGCCAATTCCCAGGCTACAGTTTCCTCAGGGTCTATTAGCTGGCACAGTATCTCAGTTTTACAAACCAAAGTGTGTGTGTCCTTCCCCTTTACATCCTGGAAGCAGGGAGAAGTGTTCAAGATCTCCCATCTTGTTCCTCCATCCTCAGCTAACTCCCACTAACTCCTGAGTTTAAAGTCATTGTTCCTTCAGAGCCAAGAGAGGTGGCAGACATACATGGGTACCACATCCCTCTGAGCCCCAGGTGGCCTGGGCCGGGTGAGAGAGGGCAAGCAGAATACTACTCTGCTAAGAAAAGAAAACATCACCCAATTAACTGGTTCCTGATGATATTGAGTATTAGCATTTGGGCAGACAGGTACTTGGCCAGCCCTGAGCCACCTTTACTACTTCCCGGGCCCAGGATGATGGGGTACCTTTCTGCAAAGGCCAAACGGAGCCGTGGCTGGGTTGGTATTGGTCTTGAGTCCGGCAGCGACTGCAGCCTTTTGTCATTGAGTTTCGGGCTCAGAAGGGACCTAATGAGAAGTGGGCATGGCAGCCTCTCTAAGTGTGCAGAGCCAGGGGCTCCTCCAGGCAGCTTCCTAACTGCTGCTACAGGAAAAGCCTCTCGGTGCAGGGGCCAGAAGGCAGCAGCAGTTTAGGAAGGTCAGGCAGCCCACCCTGGGAAGGCAGAGAGCACCTCCTGCTGACCGCACCCAGGGCAGCCGTCCGCTCTCGCACAGGAACATTCGGCTTTGGGGGTCCTGGCAGGAATGTGGTAGGACACACAGTTATTTTGTTGTATTGATTATGTTCATGTGCTTATTCCAAACACGATGATCAGCTCTGGAAACGTTTGGAAATATTTCTGGTGGTGACCTTGAAGATGCAAAAAGTACACTCTCTGGTAGCTCCCTCCCTTCCTTTCTTTTCTTTCTCTTTCCTTGCTGTTTCTCCCCCCTCCTTCTTTCCTTTTATCTTTCTCTCCCTCTGTGCTTCCCTCTTTTATTACTTTTCTCTTTCCTACTTCTTTCCCTCCCTCCCTCCCTCCCTCCCCTCCTTCCTTCCTTCCTAGAGTATGGAAGTCCACTCTCTAGGTATCCAGTCTAAGACAGCACAACCCACTACAGTCCCTGTGTATTCTAGCAAATTTAATCTCTTTCCTGCCTCAAGAAGATAAGCAGCAGACAGCAAATATTAATTGCTGACCTCCTCCTCCATAGCCACACTGTCCTTCATAATATTTAATGTGTAACTTGGAAAAAAAATTCTGTAGACTATCTGTAATGCGAATTGCATCACCCTGAAGACTACAGGGTCCCAAGTGTTGGGAACCATCCCACCTGGTTTCAGGGACAGTAGCCTCGTCAACAGGCGAGAGGGCCCCAGGGCTGGAAATAATCAAGGAGGCCTTGGGAAAAGAGGCCTCCGAGGAGATGAAACCTGTCCCCCTGACAGGGGCGCAACCCCTGCCTCCCTCACATCACCCTGCTTGGCCCTGTGATGATCGGTTAGTCAAAGACAGGTAAGATTCCTCAAGAGGAGGGACAACCTAAGCCAGACACGGCCAGTATGGGCAGCAGACAAGGACTTTGGAGACAAGAGAAAGGGCAAAAAGGTCTGCACCCCTCAGCTCGGTTTGGATGTGGCCGGAGTCCTCATTTTATCTGAAAGAAGTCCCCTTATCTCTTGGTGGCTTTGCCCCACTCTCTTGGCTCAGGCTTGAAACAATACTAAAGGCAGGTACAGCCCTAAACTGGATCGGGCGGTTCCTGGGGACAATCAGGCCTAGAAGTAAGTTCCTCTAAGCATGCTTTGTTCTTCCCTCTAAAGCTATGATAAACGGCTCATACTGGGAAGGAGATTTACAATATTCATAGACCTTGACCTGAGGCAGACCTCTTGTGTTCCTCCAATTGTTATCTATGATTTCTGTTTGTTTTTGTAAACATAGTCTTTTGACATTGATTGATGAGCTTTGCATAAATCCCTGTGCCTATGGTTCTCAATAAAAGCCTTTGGAGGGTTCGTGGCCTTCCTTCTCCACTAAACAGAAATTGCCATGTCCACTCTCCTGGCAAACAGAGAAGTGTTTCTCTCCTGGCAAACAGAGATGTGCTTGCGATGACTTGTGTTTACTCCTCTCATCTGTGACAACCCTGGGACAGGCTCTGCAGGATTCAGAGCCCCGCTCTCCCCTCAGCTGGCCCAGGACAGTAACCCTCAGGTCCAGGAGCGCCCGCACCCCACGCTCCCCACAACACATCGCCCCCTGCAACACCCAAGCTCTAGACAAATATAACTGCCTCTCTTGCTGTTGTTTGCCAGGCATGTGCCCCTTCCATGCAATGTGCCTTGCTGCTCTGTAACTGCACACTGATCTAAGGCTTTGTGACAGCGCCTCTGTTTTAAGCAACAGTAAATTCACCTTACAAAGTCAGAAAGGGAGCTTTTTGATGGTTGCTGTCAATTTTATTGCTTTATCCTGGTTACTAGGATAGAATCTGTAGACACGGTGTGTTTATTGGTTTTATGTATCGCATGTTGTTGCTGCTCTGACAAGCTAGTCCTATAAAAATGTGTTATTATTGCATGTTGTAGCTCAGTGAGCTGACCCTGCATTTCAAAGTGTACTGAAGCAAATAGCATTGAAGTCCATAAAAACTGACTGGCCTCCATCACAGAGGGCTCTGCGTGAGCTGCAGCTCCCACAGCCTGGCAGCAAATTACGCCTTTCCCCCGTGCTCGCAGCCGTCACTGCTAACTGAACACAGCACAGACCCGCACACAGGCATTACCTGTAAAATTTCAAGACAGGAAACTGCCGTATCATTCCTACTCATTCGATTCTCCAGTAAGTGCTGTTTTCAATTTTAAAGTTTACAAAATATATAATAATGGGCTTTTTAAATGTTTTATAAATGCAGGAGGGAGTAGCTGACACTGTTTCTTATCTTCTCTGAATGCTGAAGAGAAAATTAACTTGAATTACAGCAAAAGAAGGTGTGGCTAGTTCTAAACAAGTCACAGCTGGGGGTGCTGGGTGCCGAGCTAGAGTTAAGTGCCTGATACACGCAGAGCTGTAATGTCTAACACGGGCGTGGATGGGTGGTGCTGGTGGGGGA